TAAACTAACTATAACAATCACTGACTAGTCCTAGTAAACTAACTACAACAATCACTGACTAGTCCTAGTAAACTAACTACAACAATCATTGACTAGTCCTAGTAAACTAACTACAACAATCACTGATTAGTCCTAGTAAACTAACTACAATAATCGTTGATTAGTCCTAGTAAACTAACTACAACAATCATTGACTAGTCCTAGTAAACTAACTACAACAATCACTGATTAGTCCTAGTAAACTAACTACAATAATCAATGACTAGTCCTAGTAAACTAACTATAACAATCACTGACTAGTCCTAGTAAACTAACTACAACAATCACTGACTAGTCCTAGTAAACTAACTACAATAATCAATGACTAGTCCTAGTAAACTAACTATAACAATCACTGATTAGTCCTAGTAAACTAACTACAACAATCGCTGACTAGTCCTAGTAAACTAACTACAACAATCGTTGACTAGTCCTAGTAAACAAACTACAACAATCACTGATTAGTCCTAGTAAACTAACTACAACAATCGCTGACTAGTCCTAGTAAACTAACTACAACAATCGTTGACTAGTCCTAGTAAACAAACTACAACAATCACTGATTAGTCCTAGTAAACTAACTACAACAATCGCTGACTAGTCCTAGTAAACTAACTACAACAATCACTGATTACTCCTAGAAATGGAGCTGTGTTGTTTTAGATACAAGTTGTTATTTTTTAACAGTATATTATAAAGGTTAAGATGTCCTTAGGTAATGCAATTAACCTATATACATACATACAGCTGACTTCCCTGGGATCAATCCTTGACCTGATTAATCGTAGTACAAAAATATTTCTAACATCCTAGTTTCTTCTTCTTTATCGGATTTTGTAGTGCCGCAAATAAAAACTATGATCATTAGATGTGGCAAAACGTTGTCCACTATCTCTATCTCACCTTCAGATAAGATGGGATAACTTGAAAGGTCAAGATAATTCATTACGTATAAGAACATATATCTATCATGATTCTGTCTTTTTATTTGGTTGTTGTTTTCTCATTGGTTGTAGTCAGGCTCCCTAAGTAATAAACATAAATCATATGTGTGATCAAATAATAATTTAATACATTTTAACTCTAAGATATACAACAAAAAATGTTTTTATTTTAATAATTATTATCGTAAAATCGACGCCAAAAATAATTTCGATCTCTTAAACCTGAGAAATTGTAATTTTGTTTCCTCATTCTTTATATATCATCAGAACTTATACGGTAGTGTTTCTTGTGGCTCCATCTAGCAGCTTAATAGATAATACGTTTGTTTTATGATTTTGTTTTTATATTAAGATGATTATCGTTGTGCAATTTTGTTTTCTGGTAAAATTATATGGCTGTACCAATAGTACTTTATGTATTAAGATTGAGGTAGCTCAACGTATAAACGACTCCTGTTTCATTTGTAGACGTCACGAAACTATCTAAAACAAAATAAATACATGCAAGAAAATACTTAAAACGTAATGATTAGTTTTCTTTTCAACTTTCCTTTTTTTTTTATTCGAATGATTGATTGTTTTTTTAACATAAAGCTGCGCAATAGGTTATCTATTCTGTGCTCATCGCAAGGCTCGAATCCTGAATTGCAGCGTTATAAAAATCCATTGTTAATTAAGGCAACATATAATTTCTGTTAGACTCCAGCCAAATACAAATGTATTTTATTTAAATGAGTGTCCTTAATGTGCTTAGCATAATCCCGTTGACTTGTTTTACGACATAAATCTGTTTGTTTTAAAACGTTCGCGTAAAACTACGTTCCTAATTTGGAACTGATACACTAGAGGGAAGGCAGTTAGTCAATACCATCCATAACCATCTCTTGGTCTACTCTTGTCTGACCGAACAGTAGGATTTGAATGTCTCTCTCTTATAGCCCACCTGCGACCACAAAATGCGGAGCGCGTTTGTGCGGCAATGTGACGCGAACCATTAAAGTCTGGATATACTGATCGCTTGGCCGCACCTAGCTCTTTAAGGCACAGTTTAACATTTGTCACTAAAATTATTTTTAGGCTATAAATATTTCAACATCAAAATATATTACAAAACTAAGAACAATGCACAGCTAATCTGCGGATCGCGGGTTCGAATCACATCTCGGATCGTACTCGCGTTATAGTGTGATGGTCAATCCCGTTTTTTTTTGTGTTTTTTTGTTGGTATTAGAATAGACCAAGAGTTGGTGGCGAGTGTTATCTAGCTGCCTTCCCTCTAGTCTATAATTTATAAATTAGGAACGGGTTGCGCAGATAGTTTTGGGCGAAATCCTGCAGGCAAATAAACAAAAAGTGTACAGCTTAATCAAAGTAATGTTCTGTCTAAGATAGGTTTAAAACGAACACAAGCAACCATACATTAAAAGTTTAACTGTTCAAATAAAGTAGTGAATAAGATGAAGCAACGCAAACATAAATACTCACTGCATTCTCTCTTCTTTTTTTTTAGGGGGGGCAAACTGAGATTAGTATTTCTATTAAGATAAATAAAATAACGACCTATATTTCCAGGACGTGTTATTATTAGCTAAATATTTCGCTATTACAACTTCGTCAGGAGCTATCGATATTCTAAAAGTTCACTAACTCCGTTAAAACTCTGGATTAGTGAACTTGTAGGACATCGATAGCTCCTGACAAGCAGTAATATTGAGCTAATAATGACATATCCTGGAAATATAGGTCGTTATTTTATTTACCTTAATAGAAATGCTCGTATTAAACGTATAGAGACTTCACCGTTATCTGAAAAACAAGCTCTTTACAAGTTTACAGGTTGTTATTCCAGGATTTTAAAGAATCGGGACAAAAGATTATTTTATTATACTCATCAAGATTTTTTTTTAGATTTGTATATTTAATTTTTTTTTTAATAATTTAGGTTTAAGAATTTTGTTTGTTTGAATTTCGCGCGAAGCTACACGAGGGCTATCTGCGCTAGCCATCCCTAATTTAGCAGTGTAAGACTAGACACCACCCACCGCCAATTCTTGGGCTACTCTTTTACCAACGAATAGTGGGATTGACAGTCACATTATAGTGCCCCCATCCCTGGTCCTCATCACACCAAACATGCTCGCCCTTTCAGCCGTATTGCGAGTCGAGCGCCCTAACCACCTGGCCATGCCGGGCCTAAGTTTTAAGAAACACTTACTATAAAAATAGCTAGATAAATTATAAATACTAAAATTAAATTTATTGCTCCGTTCAAAAGTGGAATCCGGGTTTCGATACCCGTGGTGGGCAGAGCACAGATAGCCCATTGTGTAGCTTTGTGCTTAACTTAAAAAACAAACAAACAAACAATCAAAAGTGGAAATGATAAATTATTAATTTATATATATCTTTATTAATGTATACTACTTTTAAATTATTTATGTGATAGCTTATATTTCATCAGACCATCTAAATAACCACAATTTGAGTATATAGTTAACAACACGGAAAAAAGTAATATTTTCGAGGTTTCGGTTTGCGTAACGAACATTGGAGAGTTTGTGATGTAGTTATACATAAACAATACTTAACTACACTTCAGAAAATAGAATATTTTAATTTTTTCAACGTTTCGGTTGTTGTTTTTGAAGTTAAGCACAAAGCTACACAATGGGTTATCTGTGCTCTGCCCACCACGGGTATCGAAACCCGAATTCTAGTGTTGTAAGCCCGCAGACATACCACTGTGCTACTGGGGGGCATAGGTTTCGGAAAACTCGTTTATTAGGACGTCATGATTACTGAAAAAAAGATTAATTTGCATCTGGTTTCTTAATTAATTAAATCGACACAATAATATAAATGTTACTTGAAAAACACGTGCACTACTGTACAATGGTCAATAGTGTGTGACATGTCATAACAATATTTTTGAAATTAATATTATTGTGAATAAATAATGAAATGTCACTTATTTTGACCTCAAAGATGTTATATTGTTTAACATTGGTAATTTCTAAAGGTAATCGGTTAGGTATTAATGTAGAGATGCGTTTATTTTTTTAAATTATCCTCGTCTGTTTGTTGTTTTTTTTTTAGCAATGCCACTTTGGGCTATCTGCTGTGTTCATCGCGGAGAATCGAACCCTGGATTTTTAGCGTTGTAAGTTCGTAAATTTACCACTGTCCCATCGGGGGACACTTATCTTCGTATATATTTATTTATCTTTCAAATTTTAAATAACTCATCCTGGACAATATAAAAAAAAAACACGCCATCTTTCTTCCGGAGTAAAAAGTAAAATTGTTGGATTTTTTTCTTATTCAGAGCGTGTTTCGGCGCACGTTCTGCATTGCCATTTTATAAGACGTTTGGTGACATGATTGTTATTAACCTTTCGTTTCAAAGTTTCGGAAATGGCAGCTTTATTTTTGCGCACCTCTGTATACACATTTTCTGTTTTCATCGTGAACATTACATTTTTTTATAACAGGATAGTTATGGCTAACTTACAGTAAAGGACAATTATGGAACTTGTTTCTTTGTTAAATTTTCGCGCAAAGCTGCTCGAGATCTATCTGCTTCTAGCCATCTCTAATTTTGAACTGATAAACTAGACGGAATGGCAAGATAGTCAACACCACCTGCCGTAAATATTGGGGGCTATTCTTTTATCAAAGAATAACATAATTGACCGTGACATTATAACACCCGAAGGCTGAAAAGGGCGAGCATGTTCGGTTACAGGATTCGAGCTCGCGATCATAAGATAGCGAGACAAGTTCTCTAACAAATAGACCTTTCCAGACTTCGCAAATATAGAGCAAAAGTAAAAAAATGACTATAGATTTTTAAATAACATGGATAATTCAGGCTTTAGGCTCGTTCTCGCGCTTACTGTATACAAATATATAATATGTATTTTTATTATAAAACTTACACTGCAATTCCTCTTCAAATTGTAAAGCGCGTTAGAAATATAAACTAATAGTAATTACTAACATTTCAGTTGTTACCAACACCTGGAATGTTCCCTACCGTTTAATTAGTTTACTTTGAATTTCGAGCAAAGCTACACGAGGACTATCTGTGCTAGCCGTCCCTAATTTAGCAGTGATAGACTAGAGGAAAGGCAGCTAGTCAACACCACCAACTATTGGGTTACTCTTTTATCAACACTTAGTGGGATTTCGAGTCGAATGCCTTAATCGCCAGACCATACCAGGTTCAACCGTTTTGAATTATAAAGGCTATAAAGTTTTAAACGATCGGTATCTGCTTGTGATACAAAACTTACCTTTAGACTCTGACGTCATTAACTCAACTATGGTTATGGTATGAAGCTGTCAAAACCAACGCTAGAAACCGGGTTTCGATACCCGTGGTGGGCAGAGCAGATATAGCCCTTTGTGTTGCTTTGTGCTTAACTACAAACAACAACAACAAATAATAGGTAATTTGCGTCCCCTTTACAGAAATTGTTCGTTGGATTTCTTGCAAAGCTACACAATAAGGCTGTCCGCGTTCAGCTATTCCCAACTTTGAGCTGATAAACTAAAGGGAAGGCAGCGGCTAGTCAGTCACCAGAACATACTATCTACGTTTAGACTACTCTTATCGGACCGAACAGTGAGATTTTAACCGCCACTATTATAGCGCACTCGCGGCCCCAAAACGTGGAGAGGCGTTTACAGCAATGGGATGCAAAATGTGAATCGTTGGATCTATAGTTTGGAAGCGCTAACCACTTGGCCATACCCCGGCCACATTAAAGAAACTTTGTGAAAGCGCTCTTCTTGTTTTCTGTTGATCATATGTGTCTTGGAATATCATTAGGAGCACTTTTAATGGCTTGATAAATAACATACTCTTTTTGACTTTAGAATACACCCATTCCCATTCCCATT